AAAAGCGCTTTATAAATAAAAATGTTTATTATTATTATTATTAGCATTGTTAATGTCAATGAGAGTGGAGTTTTGGAGCTGTCAAACCAAAACACTTAGCTAAAGAAGGCTAAAACTGTGAACTGCAGAGTTGGGTAATAATGCCCTGTGGGTTCATTACTACACATGACCCATTTCATGTAACAAAGCCATTTGATCAATGAAAATGAACATGTACAACATTGATTAGTGCAGCTTTAAATCCATTGCATTTGCTCTACATCCCTCTGGCAGCGCTTCACAACACTGGCCAAGCTCACTGGGTGCAATACCAGACACCAGCTTGACAACAAAACCTTTTTGGATCTTGGGGGGATAGATCTGAAGCATCCAAGAATACTTCCTCTGCTCCACTGTGGCTCGTACAATTGCACATCTCAGTGTCAATGATAACCTTTTTGTGTCTCTATGTACCACATGTTTATGCCTGCTTTCTTTTATATTTGTGACACTTTAGCTCTGATGTAATGCTTATTTACACACACACACACACACACATTTATCCAATTACTGCGGGAGTAAGATATGTTTTATCGTAATGAATTATTCATGGTAAAGATGCACCACAAAGGTTAGCGTGTTAATCTTGTGTCTGCTCCTCTGAATCCCTTTAAAAGATTATTTCTTGAATGCGGCTGACATCATTGCCCACCATAATTAAGTTGCTTTTTGCAGGGGCAGAATTGGGCCACCAATCTGTGACTCACTGTGATTACAGTTTAATTCTGTCTGACCTTGTAGCTGCACATGCAATTTGACTTGGGTCTCGTGTAAAACATCAGAACAAAGTCATTAAACTAGTTCAGGGGGAAAATCCTGACATTGTCTCGTCACTGACTAACCATGCACATGTGCACATCATTGCATGTGCCACTATTTATCTCTGTTCTTCAGTCATAGAAATTTGGAAATTACACATTTCTGGCTGATTCAACAACCTTATAACTTGTTGTGGATGATTTTATATTTCATTTACCCAGGAATAACCTTGGATGTATCTTTTACATGTCAAAGACAAAGATGCTGCAGGACTCAAACATTCACACATTTTTATTCCTCGGACAGACAGCAGGGCTCCTTTGGCGATTTCTCAAATATACTCTCCAGTGACAGTCAGGAGGAATGATAATATGTAATGGTAAATGTCTCCATCACTGAATGCCAAGTGTGATAATGACAGAGACAGTCACTATCCTAAGAGAGAAACGTTCTCTTACATTCACTACTTACTTCCAATAAATTAAACAATTGAAATCCAACAGCAAGCCTGGACACGCACGAACACTTTAGCTGCTACAAAAAGGTGAAAACAGATGTGAAAACCTAAAAGCACACTTTCGATCAACTCAGGCACGCACAGCAGTCCATTACAGCTCCACCATCCCCTGTCCTCGACTTCAAAGTTTGCATTCTGCTCTCTTAATCCCTCAGTGAGAGCACAGGATGTTATGACACAGATATTTGAGAGAATGTTTAGGGCACATGCATTATTTCTACTCAACATTTAAAGGTCCAATGTGTAGGATTTAGGGGGCTATACTGACAGAAATTAAATATAATAAGTATGTTTTTTAGTGTACAATCAACTGATAATAATAATTCTTGTCTTTACTTTTGAATGAGCTGTTTGTATTGACATAGGGAGCAGGTCCTCATCTACGGAGATCGCCATGTTGCACTGTCATGTTTCTACAGTAGCCCAAAACGGACAAACCAAACATTGGCTCTAGATAGGGCCGTTCATGTTTTCATGTCAACCACTGTAGTTAGAGGCCCCTTTGTGACGAAAAAGTCGGAAAAACACAGATTTTTGGAACTGCTTTATTCTGTGTTTTTAGGGGTTCAAATCACTGAGTTTGCCTGTTTTATAGAGAGACCTCTGTGGATAATTCCTCCCCTGGTGAAAACACCCTTAGTATTTGGATCTTAAAATGTCAGGGGCATAGGTGAGCACATGCAGGTGCTGGGCTAGCGGCCAGTCTCTGACATGATAAACAGCACCGCAGAAGCACTGATTTATAACATGAAACTGCTTCATTCAGTCTTTTTATAGTTCAGATACCCAGGTATATTAGTTTTTGGAGAGGAAGAGACCTCTGCAATAATTTGGCTCAGGGTAAAAAAATGCCTGAAAATCTGGATCAGAAATAAGGTGAGCACAGATTAGGCTGTCAAAGAAAAAAAGTGAGCACGCATTAGCAGGTGCTGATGTAGCAGCTTGTCTTGTCTCCGACATGCCTAACAGCGTTTGTAATGCTTTATTCAGTGTTCTTACCAATTTGTTTTGGAGATGAAGAGACCCCTCCAGATAATTTGGAGAAACGCCTGAACAATTAACAGTGATGGAATTCTAACTGGGAGAAGTTTCAGCTGGTTACAACCTGCAATCCTCACTGCTAGACACCACTGAATCCCCCTAAATCTAACACACTGCTGACTTAAAATAGGAGCAGACACCAGATGCTGTTACAATGAATGTGGTCTGAATGTAAGTCAGTAGGCTCCTACAGTGCTACTTCAGCTCTTTGCGAGGTCATAGGGAAATTAGTCAGGATCTGTCAAGGATTTTGTTAGTAAACTTTCGCCTGCAGCTGTGTGGTCACGCATAAAGGTGGTTGTGATGATTGAATAAGCTCACAGGTGCTGAATATCGTCTGCACTCTGGAGCTCCACAGCTCGTTCACAAGAAACAGACAGCAATTTCCTCAGTGAACCCTGGCAACACGGCTGGAAATGATCAATAAAGACATAACGATATTGAATTATGTGTTAATGGGGAGGGGGTAGAACTTGCCTTGTCATGTCTAAAGTGCTGATGTTTGTGACAGTGAAAAGCCACTTAAAAATTCATCATAGAGCCAAATCACAGCACAGTTGAGTGTAATGCTACAGTAATTGCATCTCAGGGGGCACAGCAGTGGTTGCTTGTGTGCATGCAAGCAGATGTGCTTTGCTAAGGAGTGGAGACTCATATGCACAGAAGGCTTCACTCAATAGAAGCTATTATGTTCATTGTCTCTTATTAGATTGAGAATGACAAACAAAAGGGAGGAGAGAGAGAGAGATGGAAAAATAAGGGCGAAATGCTTTGATTGGAAGCTTGACCTAGTTGCAGAAACTCTGACCAGAGATGAAAAACAAAGAGGAAACCCAATTAAGCATCTGTCCTTAAGTACTTATGGAGATTATTTCAGCAGCAAAGAAGCACAAGAAAATGACGCCTCCAGAGAACATGCAGTACCAGACAGCTATGAAGGATCTCTTGTCAATAAAACATGTTCAGTTTCTGACATTTAAAACATAATTTGAATATATCTTTCTGATGATTGCAGTTGACCCATTTTTAAATTGGATTTCGCTATTTATTTTAAGTGTTGCTGGCCTTAACAATACATATATGGACCAATGGTGATGCAACTGTTTTCCAGCTCAGCAGCATTACTACACTGCAGCAGTCTTTATACTGCGAGGTCAATATAGGAGCAGTGTGTGACAAGTGACAGAAAAATGAACCATTGACCTCAGCTCCCACACTTCCCTTTTACAGCACCTGTGATATGAAAGAGAACAAATTTTATCATAGTGTCAGGCTGCAGCAAAATCCTGGCAACTGATATTAGATCAGAACGAGTATGCTTCATCCATATCTTAAATAACCTTCAAACTATCAATGAACATCACAAGTGCGTCAAGTGGATGAGCACACTTCCCCGAAGCATGATTAAAACCTTCCTAGAATCCATGCGTCAGTCACTTCTCCAACTCACACACTCGCATCTCGTTTTATTCGAGAGAGATCTGCTATTTTGAATCAACCTGTAGGGCACCGAGAAATGAGGTCAGACGCAAACAACGTCACTGCAGGAATCCAACATCTCACAGAAAGTGACATTTCTGTGTGGACACAAGACGAGATGTGTGGTGCAAGGAGAGCACCTCAAAATGTCACAGGAGGTGCAGCCACAAAATCAGCAATTATTGAGTTGTCGGGATCTTGATGCCTAGTGCATGCAAAACTGTGGGTCTGATGGGTTGAGAAGTGACTTGACCACTGCCAGGCCTTCCTACAATGATAAAGATCAACACCCATGGCACTTTGGATTCTGGAAATGCCTATTTTTTCCTTTCTGATGCCTCCTGTCCTGTTATTCACACACTCCACTATCATTATTCAAGCACCCCTTCTGAAAAATGGGTTATCACTATAATAAAAACACACACCATAAGTATTTCATACTGGCAGGAGCATGATTAGATTCACCTGTGAGGTTCCAGTGAGTAGGTGGGGTGTGAAAAACATGCTTTATGTCCCTCATGCTGCAGGTTTAAAAGATTCAGGCATTTATTGTTCAGTCTTTTCAGTAGCCAGAACAGTTTGCAAAGAGTGTTCCTTCTTTCTATGATTATACTGTATATGATAATGATTGGAAATTGTATGCAGCTTCCAAGTGTCAATTAAAATGCCTCAAATGAATGTAATCTGCAGTCACAAATGCATTTAACATTTAAAAACACTATGTGTAAATTATGGAAAATAGGTTAAAAAATGCAGTCTTGTGTGGAGGTGTAATTTAATAATTTAATTAAGCCACATCACTCTTATTAAATCGAGGGTCACATCAATTTTGCCACAGTTAGTCAGAATAAAACGGGAGAATATTTGGCGACTTTGGTTTCAAAATAAAATACAATATAAAATACGAGCCAAATTCTGCATCATTTGTACTTGTATTATTTTTGTAATGCCACTTTAGAAACGCTGCTCTTCACATGCTTCCTCTATGTATTTTTTAAACTCTGAGTGCCATACATACTACGGCTCGTGTTCGTTGTCAAACATGTAGGTCAAAAAAGTATTTTATTTTGAAAGCATAGCCGGAAATACACCGTGTATTATACGTGTAATGTGACAGTGGTACATTGACCCACTTTAAGCAAACGGCAGTCTCGGGTTGGTTTGAATGAGCGGCGCGGGGAGCGCGTGGAGGAGCCGCTGTGGACCCTATAGTGTCTCGTGCCCAGGACGCGCGCTCATACACCTCGCGCAGCACAATGCTGGACACCAAGTTTTTATCCACGCAATGAATTCCGCCAACGAAACCAGAGCGGAGAGAAGTACAGAACATTACCTTTTTGCAGGTGGCACCTATAAACTTCTCGCCTTTACCATCGGGACCATCGGAGTGTTCGGCTTCTGTAACAACGTTGTTGTCATCATACTCTACTGTAAATTCAAGAGGCTGAGGACGCCCACTAATTTGCTGCTGGTCAACATAAGTTTGAGTGATTTGCTGGTTTCTGTCATCGGAATAAACTTTACCTTTGCTGCGTGCGTCAAAGGCGGCTGGACCTGGAGCCAGGCGACATGCGTCTGGGACGGCTTCAGCAACAGCTTATTTGGTGAGTAAAAAAGTGAACATTTATTTAAAATGTATTAATATTGTCACATTAATTTTGTCACATTTTTTTTTAATTTTCTAAAGCGACTCTGAACATATTTATTAAACTGTTCACCCCTAGTTCTCTTAATTATTTCTTTCTCGTTACAGGCAAAAATATTACAGTTCTGCTATAATTCAGAATATGCAGCTTAATATCTTGTAATTACGTAGAAGCCAGAGATGAGCTCATTCACAAAACAGATTACACATGACAAAAAACATATTTCACAAGCTGTTTAAAAAGGTGACACTTTTCCCTCTTGTTCACACTTTATTTATAGATGGTTGAAATACTGAATCACTGAAACTCAAAAATGGTTCTCTGCCCCTTTAGTCTTCCCACACACTGAGCTGCAGTGAAATCTAACGACCTTGAATCCAATCCAATTAAATACTGTTTTCTTTGACAGTATGTGTTTTTTAATGTAAAGTCAGCATATTGTGCAGGTCGTTGCTTTATGCGGAGAAAGGTTTTTGTCACCTACATTGCGCCCACAGCTTCCATTTTACTGTAATATCATTGTCCATTTATCACCAGCACCAGTGTTCAGCAGTGAAGTGTGAATGAACAGTCAGGGTCATTCTCCAGGTCCCACCCCTGTAGGAATTAAAGCTCAGGAAGGGTGGATGTGTGATAATGAGCTCATTAGAGTGAAGCCTCAAGCTTTGGCTGCTTCATCAGCAAACTAAACAAAGAGATCCACTGGACGACGGCTCTCGTCTGTGTTCTTATTGTCCTTTCATTGACATTGGCGTCTCTGTACATGATCCACAGAGCACATTCTCCTGCCTCTGTCATGTGGTTGGCAACGCTGCAACACTGACTTTGTTGATCTGGTTTGCATTGCAAATATGTCAGAGGGAGAATTAATGTGTAAAGTAAGTGTTTACATCCAGATTTATAGTTGTTATCGGAATTCAAGATGCCTTGTTCTGTCATTGAAATGACATTGAGTAGAAAGGATGTGGCGTCCTGCTGCTTTGGCCCACACACTCACGTACATTTGCTATGAACGTCACTGGACAGCCTGGCTCCCTGCACCTGATAGGATGAGTACAACATATAGCTCTCCCCTGACACAAGTTGTAACATAAAAATCGAAGCATACAAAAATAAATCAGATATCTCTGTCTGTGTTCTCTTGTCCTCTGTTCTCAAACATGTCGTCATCTCTCTCCCTTATCATATGTTTTTCCTCAGAGGAGGCTGGTGTCAGTGTGTCCGACACGCACAGGGGGTGCAGTGATAAACCCTGGCAGCTTTGTCAATGCACGTTAATCCTGCTGAAACTCTAGCTGGGTGGCTGTGGCTCAAGCTGAGTGCATCACCTGAAACAAGCAACTGTGTAATGTGTTTGGAATTTGTTTGTGTGTTCATAGACACTTTATCTGTGTCGCCCCCGTTAATCAAGAGATGAATGAAGCAAACAGGATATCGGAGTATGCAGTTGGATGGGTTATGTGGGTGTGTGTGATGTGTGTTGACTAAAAACATGCAGAACGGATTTTAGATATTGTACCTTGACTCAGACTTGCAGATATATGGGAACAAAATGATGCACAAGATAAACATAAGAGCTTCAAATGTGTTTGAATAGAAGGCACCTTGAGAACCAAATGTCTTCACTTTGTGTGGAAAAGCAGGCCGTGTACAGGTCGTAGAGGTGTGTGAGTGTGTGGGCAGCAAGAGTCTCTTCTTTGTGAGTGTTCAAGAATCATAACAAACGATTGAATGTGATGTTCAAGACCAAGATGTTCAGAATTCTGTTTATATACATGGAGTGATGAAACTCATTCAGTCTAAAGAGACGCTGAGTAGCCACTGACCCAGATCCTGCAGCGAGCGCCCTGCATTACTCAGCGCGGCTGTCTCTCTACCTCTGCTGACAGGTATCGTTTCCATCATGACCCTGGCAGCGTTGGCCTATGAACGCTACATCCGGGTGGTCCATGCCCAGGTGGTGGACTTCCCCTGGGCATGGCGGGCCATTGGCCACATCTGGCTGTACTCGCTGGCCTGGACGGGGGCTCCTCTGCTGGGGTGGAACCGGTACACATTGGAGATCCATCAGCTGGGCTGCTCCCTTGACTGGACATCTAAGGACCCAAATGATGCCTCTTTCATCCTCCTCTTCCTCCTGGCCTGTTTCTTTGTGCCTGTGGGCATCATGATCTACTGCTATGGAAACATACTCTACACAGTGCAAATGGTAAGACATGCTTTTCAGTTGTCTGCATATTTAATAAATTATGAATGAGTTCAACTAATAAACAGAATGAATTACACAGACTTGTAAAGGAGGGTGGTTGATCCAAATCTTTAGACCCAAATCTGGGGAGGAAACATTAAAGATGAATGTAGAAACTGGTGATTGTGTTCCTCCCTCACTAAATGTTATGCTTGAATTAATAAAACTCCATCTTGGCCCATTCGAGCTGTATATAATTACAGATGTAACTGTAAAAAGTCTTATGTATTATTATTAGAGATGTAAAGATATATCAAATTTCACAATGCTGCGATTAAAAAAAGACTTGATACTGTTGTGGGACTGCAGTGAAATCTACCAAGATATTACATGGTTATTTTGCTCATATAGCCGCATTCTCTCCTTGTCGAAAATTGTCAGGGTACAACATCGCTTTTCTGGGGCAAGTGAACTCTGTGTTCAGGGAAGTGGAACGCCTCATGCAGTTGTCTGATCGGGCAAGTGAAATACAAAAGTGATGTCTAATATGACGTCATCTTAAAATAACCTGCGTACTGCATAGTTGAAGCAGAGCTTTTCCAGCTGAGCTGCGTACACAAGTCTGTCTCATCACCAAACGTTGAAAAGGACTGATGAGAACCATCTGACATTCTGGACACTATGGACGTTAACTCTGGGGCTGATGATGTCATACACGACATAGTGTTAGAGACGTTAGCTATTTCTGGAACGCTGCATGTGACTGCCTTACTTTTTTTGCTCAGAAACTAACAGTCGTGCCGTTCCAACAAGGGCTCCAGTGCAATCGTATTCCTTTCAGAAGCTTTGTAATCCAGCCTCGGACTGCAGCAACTTTGTATAATAAATCCATAATGATAAATCCAACACTGAATATCTTCTGTAATTATTTGTTTATGTCTCCAAGATGAAAACAGTTATTGTTGTTGTTAAGCATCCACTGGCCGTCCATGATGCTTTGGGTTGAGTCTGTTGAACAGTCAGAGGCTGTGTTTCTGAAGGTGTGGCAGTGCCAGGCAAAACACACAATAAAAAGATATTTAAGTTTGAATCATTCCAGTCCTGTAATAATTTGCTAATTATAAGTGTGATAACTGTCCAAATCCCTATTGATTTTATTTATTTTTCCTTTTAAAAAGCTTGTCAAGCCCTGATTGTATTATTTTTGTATGAACAGCAGAGGGCGCAGTATCAAGTCAAGAAGAAGACAAACTCACAGAGACAGGCTCAGACCCAACGAGAAAATTGCGAATGTACACATCAGACTATTTATTTAATGATGATAAATTTTGTATCATGGACCTTTTGTCATCATAATATCGCACCATAAGTTTTTGGTATTGTACCATTACATCTCAATGCGGCACCTAAACTTTTTTTTTTCTCTTAAATCTTTCAGATCTTATACCACAGCCAGACATTTTAACTTCTCATTTGTTGCTCTTCTACTGACACTTCAACTGCTTTAATCACATACAGTTTGATTACACTTCAAACCCTTTCAGGTCTCAGGTCTTCCCCTTCAAACAGCAACCTCCCACAACTTTTAATGTTCATACACAATTTTCTCCAGCTGCTTTTAGCACTAACACTTCAGCTGACACTTACACAGCCATTATCATTTTGTATATACACATGAGCTGTCCCTTTTATATTTCCAGACTTCCACTTTAACTGACTTCCAGGTTCATTTATCACCTACACTGCATCTGACATTTCAACTCCTTTCAGCACTTTCCCTTTAACTTCCCTTTGCTTAAACTTTGACACTTCAACTTCATTCATAACACTCAATCTGATGACGCAGCTTCTTTCAGCCCTTCCACTTTAACTACCACTTCAACTTCATTCAGTTTTTGTACATTAGCTGCCACTTCAACTAAAGCCTAAACTGAGTTACAAACTTCATACTGTGAATTTCTGCACAAGCACATTTTTTTTTAGAAGTTTGGCCTTTTCTAATTACAGAGGTGGAAGAAAGTATTAGTAGTATGCAGAGTATAAAGATCTTTAAAACATTATTACTTTCAGACAGATACAGACTTAACAGACTCCTTTGGATTTTCATTTTAATGAAATGAAAGTCCTTGACCTTCACTGACCGAGTGCTGCCTTTCACTCCTCTTTCATCACGGGCTCTCTTATCATAGATTGAGCCTTGTACAGTGGAAAGCATTGGAAAGCTTATTTTACTTAGAAGTGCAGCCTTTAAAGGCGCTGTTCATGATCTATGATTCACAAGCTGAGCTGGGATTACCTGAACACAGTTCTCAACATGGAGGTGGCTCAGCTGGCCAGTGCAAACAGGGCTAACAACAGCAACAGTGCTGACAGAACTAATGGTGTTTGCCTTGGGGGAAACCGGGGGGTTGGCGTTACCCTTTTGCAACAACGTCGTTGTCATAATTGACAGTAATGGTCGCATGATTGCAACGTAGAGCAGCAGTGATTAGCTAGGTGCCTGGATACACACACAGGGACTCACATGCACTAACATGCATGCACGGCTGGACCGGCTACCCCAACAACGAACAGAGAAGCTCGAATTACAACACACACAGAGGTAGAGTGACTTCAGTCGCTGCTCAAGATGCTGTTACTCCACTATCTTTACATAGCAGATAGGTGTTAACTGCTTTATTAATGTTCTGAATGTTGTAAACAGAACCCTTAAGTGTCTCAGATAAAGACGTACACTTTATAACTGTACGGGCATTGGTGCAATAGAATTTCACTAACTATATAATGTTGTCCCCAGCTCAGCTACACTGTCAGCTCTGTCATTATCATGTCTTGTTGTTGTTATGCCATGCCTTATTCTCCTCTGTTATACTTGCTTTGATGTCCTTCCCTTTCTCTCTTCTCTTTCCTACCTGCCAATGGAACAAGGGATGGAAATTAGCCGCTTGGCTACAATCTCTTACATATTTACATTGTTAATGTTCATTAATATGTTCTGTCCCATAAAAATAAACAAATAAATAAAAAATAAAATAAAATGAATCAGTCCCAGAAGACAGCCTGGTAATATTTGATGTAAGCAGGGTGTGAGGATAAGGGTTAAGCATTTAAAAGTGTGTCTGATAGAAATTGGGGAGCCACAAGATTCTCTAATCCATTTCTGCCTGTATCATCTTCATCTGTGTGTACCATTGAGCAGATTGCTGCTAAAAAGTGTTAAAACAGGAGAGTTTGTAAGCAAATATGTAAATTAGAAAAACAATATGCCATTCTAAATAAATGACCCAGATGTCTGTCTGCATCACAGTTTGGTGCAGCTGCTATCTCTCCTTCCTTATTAATTCACAACTTTGTGAAGTGTTAGAGTACCACAAAACTCCCTGAACACCTCAGAAGCCTGGGAGGACTCATCGCACGTCATAGCATTTTGGGAGATGCTCTGAAAATCTTCAGAGAGAAGTACTCTGAACCAGACAGAGTATTTTTGGCTTGATAGAAAAGCAGCCTGCTTTGGCAAAGCCTGACAATCTCACCGTTGGTGTCTAAAAACCTGGAGAACATTAAAATGGAAATATATCATGACTTCATAAGAAATGGAGAACATAAATAAAAACATACCTTATGAATTCATGATAGAAATAAGAGCTTGCAGTGATGATCTGCTGCCGTAGACTGTGTAGAAAGACTTAAGAAAATGCTTTATCTTCTCATCACTTTATCTGAAGTGTGTTATCTAGTAGAAAGTGTCTGACACAGAGTGTATTACTGAGGTATTACAGCGTTAGCAGGATTATGGAAATAATGCTGCATCGTGAACACAATAAAGCAGTTGTGTGGTCTTAAATAGAAACTGTGGGTGGGTAAATTACTTCACTGATTTTCTGACTCTTCTCCACTTATGCTGCTACTACATTTTTTCGTTTACCATTATCCCATAATTGTTACTTGTAGCCACAAAAGCTGCTGTTCAGCAAAGGTTACATAGTCTTGCTTTAAAGGTATCTCCATAGTAAATGCCACATGCAAAGAAAGAGGGTAGATCCTCTCTGGTCTCCATTATAGATAGACAGTGCGGTTATTACAAAGATGGCACTTTTCTTGTCAAGACAAGTACATGTTTCCTTGTTCCTGTTCAGCAGTATGGTTTCTTAGGATGCGTTATCCCCTACCTCCAATTCTGTAGCTTGTGTTGTTCCAAACGCCAGTGCAAAATTCTCAATTCTCGGTGCCGAAATTGACTGCAGTTTTACTCCAATAAAGTTGCATAGGATTCAAAAATGCATTCAAGATCATTTAAGTTAGTTGTTCCTAACCTTGGAGTTGAGAGAGTTCACAACATAAATGGGAGGGGTCGCATGATCATTAGCAGGACAGGATAGAAGAAGAAAAACATTAATCTTCTACCAAAGTAAGAAGAGGTCTTTTAGTAAAACCAAATGCTGAACAAGACCTTTTTAGGCAAACAAAACGTTACAATTAACATACTTGAAATAGCGACAGCTATGGCTATGCCTATATTCTGTGAATCTGGGGTCATTCTTTGCCAAGTCAAGCACAGCCTACCACCCCCTCATCTATGAGCAGAAAGGGTGATAGTCCTAAAGTTCTGTAACTGATAAACTGAAAACTGCCATTTTGTCACTGTAGTAGGGACGTGTAAATGGATGGGACCCACCTGTCACTCTAAGTGGCCATGCCCTCCATTATGCATAACTTTAAGCCTTAATAACATGTCATGTACAGTGGTCATGAGGGTTACAGTCAGACTCGTAGCATCTTGGCATCACATTAAGGTATTTTAACAAACCTTTCTGTATTCCTACCTGCCCTTACTCACATGAATATACACTGTCAAATAGTCAGACCTAGGAATTGCCCAGTTCAACTACAAACTTTGATCCAAACCAGCTACAATCTGGTGGTCGCAAGACAGCTTGCCGTAAAAGTTAGGCCAACATCCTTCCTCATGACAGCATCTTATCTCTCCTGTTTCTTGTAGCTGCGCTCCATCCAGGACCTCCAGACGGTTCAGATCATCAAGATCTTGCGGTATGAGAAGAAGGTGGCCGTTATGTTTTTCCTGATGATTACCTGCTTCCTGGTGTGTTGGACGCCATATGCTGTTGTGTCCATGTTGGAGGCTTTCGGCAGGACGAACATGGTCTCTCCCACAGTGGCCATCATCCCCTCATTCTTTGCCAAGTCCAGCACAGCCTACAACCCCCTCATCTACGTGTTCATGAGCAGAAAGGTTGGTAGTCCTAAAGTTGTGTAACTAATAGATTGAAAACTACAGTGAAGAACTTCTTATCTATTCTGGGTCAACTTAGAGACCTACAAATAATTGGGCATCAGTAAACTGTTACCTTCAGCACTACCTTCTTGCTCTGAGGGTGACGTCAGTGAAAATGTTCAACCATCACCACTGAGCCCATGTTTTGCCTGGGTTTAGAATACATTTGTTTTGCTGGAGATATCTGTGTGTTCATTCAACTCTTTTCCCCATCCAGTGACCACAGCTGGATTCTGAATTTAACATAGACAGAAAGGACAAATAAATGGCATTTGAAATAGGGGCGATGGTTTGTTCTCCTCTTGTGCTGCTCCAATTTGTGGTTTGAGTAGAAAAACAGGAGTATTTTAATATTTGTAAAAGAAAGTAGTATTTTTATGAGCATTTATTGGAGTATTTCACACAAAATAGTGCAAAAATTTCAATTTCCCCACAAATACAATTTATATAGGTGAAATTCTGCAAATTGGTAGAAAAGATTTTTGCACAATTACACGTATGCAGTATTCCACTTCAGAGGTAAAATAATGCAAAAATGCAGGAAAAGATCTTTTTCAAAATGAGAACAAAATCTGCATCATAGCATGTTTTCCTGTAAATGTCCAAGCTTTAATTAGCACAGCAGCATGTATTGCGTCTGTAGGATAAAATTGTCTCCTATACGAGTGTTAGTTTGCTGTTATTCTAGGCTGATTTCTTTGACAGACAAATGAGTGAGAGAAGGGTGCTATTTCACCGCGGTGTTAAATACAGCCATTTTATCTCCTCCCTCTGCTTCTCCTGTCAATCTTCCTCTCACAGTTCCGCCGCTGCTTGCTACAGCTACTGTGCTCGCGGCTCTCTTGGCTCCAGCACAGTCTCAAAGAGCGCCCCCTGGCTCCGGCCCAGCGGCGCCCCATCCGACCGATCGTGATGTCCGGGTCATGCAACGACAGAGACAGACCTAAGAAGAGGGTGACTTTCAGCTCCTCCTCTATCGTTTTCATCATCACCAGCAATGACTTCCACCAACTGGATGTGACCTCCAAGGCTAGAGAGTCTGTGGAGGTTAATGTCATTCAAGTGAGGCCATTGTGATCCACAAGGACTGGACTTCTCACCCCACCACTCAGTATGCCTTAGGACCTAACATGCAAATCCATGCCAAAAAAATCCTGTCTGACCTCCCTGGACTTTTTTGGTCTACACAGTTATAGACTTCTTACAGCTACTTGTAAATATTCAACTGTCAGCCCAAGATCTGAGCTAAACCTATTTTCTGACAGTGTTTTGTCTAAACAGGTAGTATGAAAGTGTGACATCCTCATCTACCATCAACTGTGGTGATATTAGTGCATATTGATGTAGTTAACAACTAGTAATATCATGTTTCTCTTAGAACAAGTATCACACTTATTTGTCAAATATGCCACACTGTTTATGTGACAACTGCAGAACTGTGTTATGTTTTTAGAGGCCAGCGGTGTTAAAGACTTGAGTATGGATCAAAATGTGTTAGCAGATTTTTTTTGGTTGGTAACCAACTGCAAGTGTGTTTAATGGAAAATAAGCCTTAGCTCCTTAGCCATAAACCACGATACACAAACTGTCATTGTTGTGTATGGATTCAATAAAGAGATCCTATTTTAAGCTACCTAGCTTGTGTACCATATCTGATTTTAATCTAAATCTGCAGGGTGAGGGGAGCAGTCACTGTGAAATGACATGTTGTGGATTTATGTGTATGAAGACTACAGGAGTGTAATTAGATAAGAGGAGATGAGACTGGAACCTCAGTATGCTCCAGTGAGACACTCCTTTCATAACCTCCTGGGCTGTCAGCTATGAATAGACTTGATGAATGGATTTCCATAGCTGATAATATCCTTGTTAGTGTGTGTGACTGAGTGAGTGAGTGGTCTTTGTTTTTATACTGTTTACTTTAATGAATGGTTATGGAAAAAATACGGCAATATACTTGTTTGGTATCTTGTTTTTTTTTCTCAGCTCCCAAAGAGAAAAACAAAGACTAATTATTCATAAGCGAATAAGCATTCCTGATATATTAAACTATTTTTTTAAAAGAATATTTTTTTAATAACAGTGTATCAAATTATAATGTAATGTATAATGTAACTAAAATTACCACCTTGTCACAGTTACAATTCAATACATTACATTACATGTACGTTTGTGCCAAACTTGAAAACCTAGTCCTGGTATGGATGCATGAAAACAATGTTACAATGTAAAAGTGGTCACTTGAAGGGAGCCTTATAGTGAGTTTCAGCTGACTGTTTAGCTTTCCAACCCACAACTTCACTGTTTGTGGTTCACTCTCACCACTCTCGTATACCACTATCCACCAAATTAGCCCTGGTTCTTGAATTAGTTCTGTTTAGGGTTCTTGGAACCACGGTGCTATCTATTGAACCAACCAACCCACGTTTCCACCATTTTTTGGGCAAAACCATTGTAATCAAGGATGCGCCATAAACAAAGGGCATTGCACAATGCACAACGAGGGTAATCAGGAGGCAAATTTGCGTTTTCTTGGGATAGCCAAAGAAATGACCTGCCCTACTCTCCCTCTGATTAGCTGGTGCTTGGTGCCTTCGTTGGGTGGGTTGCTTAGGTTTTGGCAAGAGGAATGAGACTATTTAGGGTTATAGTAAGAATACCAGGATAATTATACCTTGACCAGCCTAGGAAACACAAATTCGCAAACAGTTGTAGTAAGATGGCGGTTTGCATTGATTACCTTAGAGCTTTTTTTTTTTTTTTTTTAATCTTACTGCAGATACTTGTTTTTATCAAAGTAAAAACAAGTATCTGGGTTTAAAACCAATTTATATTTTTTCAAAAGCCTTCTATATTGGTGGTAAAGGGGTAAAAGTGTTGCTTTAGGCCACAGCAGACAGCTGTGCTCCTTTAAGAGACAGAGAAATGTGTGCATGTATGGATTGAGTGATCAAGCAAGCACAAGCGAGCAGGTGATACAAGTGACAGTGAAGGCAGCAGAGCTGAGCAGAAAAACAGGTCTACAGCTAGCAGTGAAGTGGTCAGTTTAGCAGTAAATGTGCAGTGTAAGTCACAGTTTTTCAGTTGATAAAGGCTGCCACTACTTAAGACCAAGTGGAGCTCCCGTATGTTGCTTTCCAGCTGCTGGTAAAGTGAGAGGGGTTACTTTGACCCTGGAGGTAAACAAATCTCTCATGTGCTTTCTGACCATGGTCGGAGGAGGAGGTGAAGCAGGAACGGGTAACACAAGAACGGACAAAATTAGCGACTACCTGGTGACCATAGTGGAGTGTAAGAGCAGCAAAAGAGACAGATTTTTCCCCCGGAAGTTGGTAGAGACCAAAAACAGAGCTAAAAGAAGAGTAAATATTGGACTTACATCCATCAAGTGGTCAACACATGAACATTCACGTTACTCCGTAACTGCTGAGTGTATAAAGCAACTGTATACTACCAAGTTCGATAACTTATGTACGTCAGTGTTAAATTCACACCTAAATTGTAGGTTGAAGAATGTATTGACTGAGCTGATATTATCCGTCATCGTGTATAAACTAGATGATGTTGAGAGGAACAGAGCCAAAGACATTTATTTGCAATTCATGTATAAGCATCTTATACACTCATACAGCACGTACCCTGAGCCACTGCCTGAGTTTAATACTCACAGTTTGTCGTCTTAACATTCAAAGTTGTGCAAGTGATGATAACGACATGAAAATAATTACATCTGTTGGGCTCCCTCGGTCAAACCATTATCAGTTAAACACTGGTGGGACATTATAAAGTTGTTTTATCAATCATTATGGGTTGTATAAGTTAAGACAATCATTATTACACTACAGTAATTTGCCTGGCAGAGCCTTCATCGTGTTCATTAGCTGATGCAGTGAAACTCTAATTAAAACTGGATCTCAGTTCTTGTGTTTCATACTGCGGTCTTTGCACTTGTCTGTCAGATCAGAGCCGGTGCTCAGGGGGTCCAGCGAGCCACAAGCCTGTGCCACATTTTCCCGGCAGGGATGATGAGCTTGTTGATGTGAGAAGGATCTTTAATGAGCAGGTAGGAGCCTCCCAAAACAGCTCCTGTAGCACTGAACAGCAGGCCACGGTTTATCACCTGTGAAAAACATGTTAAAAGAACCAATCTCAATTAGCTTGAATTAGGTTTTGTAGGTTTATCCACACAAACTTTTAATTACTCAGACCTTCACGTAAGGCTTTGTAAATTAATTTTATTTTTAAGAGTATCAATCTCTCAAAAGCATCAAGCTCATCACAACTGTAAAGAAAAAGCTGCCATGCTTTCCTTCAGGTCTTTGGTTTATCATATAGGTGCCATAGTTTTCCGTAGAAATGAACAGACATGTTTCTGTAAATTCACAGGAGGGTTCCTTACAGGACAAATTGTAATTTGGTAAATTTGGTAATTATAGATAAATGGGAGCAGTATTACACATGTACACTTCTAGTAAATAAATCTTAATTATCTCAATCTTTTATTCAGCTGAACACATAAAAATTCAAATGACAGTCATGCAACTTATACAATTCAACATATGTAGGCTCAGGTTGTTGCTATAAGTGTCTGACAACACTATGGAAAGGATCCTTAAAGAGATAAGAGATAGACCTATTTGTTAAAGACTAATATCTTTTTTGTTTGACTAGAAACAGCCCTGAAATCACCATTGCTAAACCCACCAGACTCCATTTTAAAAATAGTAATTTTAGTGTATAAAACCAGAATGTTGTAACATGTAACTGGGTGAATTAAGGGTTTATTTCAACCAAACCAGAGTTGGTGGATGTAGGAAGAGTGGAAAGACAAACCAAGACGGCTTTTATTTTGTTTCAGTCGACTTTGAATGAAGTGAGTTTTACGACGACAACATTACTGTTTAAATGGGGTTTTCGGGGCTGTTTCTTAATAAACAAAAAGGATCTTGCTCTTTAACAAAAAGTTCTATCTCTTTAAGGATCCCTTCCACAATGTTGTCGGACACTTATAACAACAATCTGAGCCTGTCAGTGGCAAAAACAAGCAATATTAGTGAATGTAGATTGATGTGCACATCGCAGCCTGTTTTGCCACTGTTGGCTGAGTGTTCTTGCTCAATGCAGGACCAGTTTCAAAAATTGTTGTCATAGGAAAATAGGGTTTGAAAATACCAAAGTTAGCCTTTGCTAATATCATCATGCTAACATTCTCACAGTGACAATGCCAACGCCACTACACTGATGTTTACCAGATTAAAAGTGATTAAAATGAATTCTGAGGGGAGCATGAATGTCTGAACCACATTTAATGGCAATCTGTCCAACAGTTGGTAAGACATTTCACTCAAAACAACAAATGTCAACTTCATGGTGGTGCTAGGGTGTCAGGGGATTGCTACAGTCTCTACGAGTCATCATTTGGGAACCATGAATGTCTGTACAAAATCTCATGACAATCTTTCCAATAGTTGTTGAGATATTTCAGTCTGGATTGACTGAATTTGCCACAAAAAAAGAGCCACAGCGGTGTTAAGCATGGCTGAAAGTCAGGCTTAGGAAGTTATAATTTATCTATGATGCTGGGCATTGTAACATATTTAATACTAGAGCACTTTCCCGCCATTTTATTATTTTATCCACTTTGCTTCAACCGATTACCACCAAAATTTTGTCATCTGTTCCTTGTCCCATTATCAACCTTTCCTGAAAATTTCAAAATCCGTTCAGAACTTTTCAAGTTATTTTGCAGACAAACAGACAAACAGACCAATGCCGGCGAAAACATAACCTTGGCGGAGGTAAAAATCTGTCCTTATATTGTTTATAAATGTTTATAATGCCTTATACTTTGTCCTACATTACATACAGCTGTATACTCTTCACCTATTTCAGTGACTATGCTGTTTCTTTACCATATAACTACCTATCCTCCCAACACTCAGCTAAAACATAGACCATCATGTTCTCTCTGCAGCAGACCTTGATTCGTTCATGTCAGTATCTAATTATTTTGTTAACAGCTGTGTTCCACTAGCCCACTGTATATGCTGTATCATACAGCAGTTGTTTCTCCCCCAGCAGAGGTCATTTTGCCTTTTGCCCAGACATCCCGATGAGTCTAAACAGTTAACGGAGGAGGCTGTGAAATCCCCACTGTCCTTTGGACGATGGATCATTAGCCCAGAAGACATCAGCACAGGTCACATCAGAGAGTTCAACACAGTTCCAACATCTAGCTGAGTCATTACAGCCAAGCATGAGAAATCAGAAACAGTTATTTGGGCAGCAGAGCTATGTGTTGGTGGTGGAATACATTTGTCTAAAAAGGAAAGTATTTACCCAGTGCGAGTCACATCCGCCTTTCATGCTCGGTGCTGATAAAACTGAGACTTCAAAAGAGTCCCATATTATAATACCAAAATGTTCAAAGGCATAAAATGTCCTCCAAAAAGTAAACTATATGCAGGAAAGATGAAACGAAAAAGACTAAAGAGAAGAAACATTTTATCAGCATCTTACTTTGTTTTGCCAATGCCAGCGCTCCACGGCCTCATGATACCTTGTCCTAGTGAAAGTGACCTGTAGACAGTGAAGGGCAGTGATGATATAGATAATATGGTAACCTGACAATCT